CTGCATAGAAGACAGAGACAGGATTCAATTACGGTGCTTCTCAGAAACTGTCCTTTAAACTCTATTATAAGCACTAACATCAGAGTACCTATGAAGGTTGTGATTTAGTACCCCCGAGTAATCGAAGGCCATAAAGCTTTTTAATGATGCACTTTCAACATTATCACAACACATGCTTGAACCAACTGTTCTTTACCATAACATCAAATCCTTCTCTGGTAATTAGATTTAAGAACTTTTCATCTGACGAGCTATAGACAAACTGTTTTAGAACCAACAGAAAGAACATGTGATACACACTGACTCTAGAGCTCATTACTAACCATTACTAACTTAAGATTCTTAATTCACCTCTCTACCTCCTCACTGGAAAATAAAATAAAAGCCCAAACCATCTGCTACCCCCACCCTCAACAATAAAAAGTAAGCAAATTTATAATATTGTTCTTTAGAATCATTTTTTTTCTCTCTTTTGTGCTCATTATACATTTTTCTTATCATAGATATAAGTGAAAAAAACGTTAACATTACTTAATTCAGAATCTTGGGCTTAAAATAAATTTTCGATTTCTTCTCTTTTGCTATTTGTATTTTAAAAAGCCTGAGATTGAAAGTTCTACTTCATTAAGACAGGTATGATTTTCTTCTATTCAGCCGATTAGTGGTAAGACCTGTAGCTTGACTGTGGCTCAAGAAAAATGCCCAGAGGTGACATTTTCTCTGATATTTCACAAAGATGGCAGAGGATAGCAACTTAATTGACATTAATACCAGTAGCTGTAAAATAGTAGGCTTAACTTCCTGAGGCTCAGGAAGGTTATCGATCTGTGCTGAGAGAGGGGCATTATCTTTTTTTTTTTATGGAATTAGAATCTTTGGGTCTTAATTTGCGATTTAGAAGACTACTTAAAGTTTCTTCAAACTGAACTTGAAGAGCCTAAATAAATGAGTGGTCAATGACACCTATAATTTTTTGGAGTGGAGTTTATGTTACTGATGAGGTCACCAGGAGCCAGATTTTCTCAGTACAAAACCCAGATATTATTGTATGAAATAATAAGCATTAATGCAATTTTTAAAGACCATCTTATCTTAGTTTCAGAAATTTACACACTAGATGAATTTGGCTCAAGTGCTTAAATTATGAAAAAGATTAAGTAAGTGTTAACAGAATTAGAAAAAGAGTGGGAATTATAAATGAAATCAACAAAAGTTAGTTTGTTGAAGAGACAGCTTTAATTTATAGAAACAGGTTTAGAAAAGTAACACAGATAGTATCTATTCTTACTTCAAAATGGAATCCTTCTTTAAGTGCAAGTGCCTTCAGAATTTTGGAGGAGACTGTGGTGGCTAACATATAAATGTTCTTCACATCAGCATTTCTTGATTTACTTTTCTTCCAGCAATCAAACATCCACCACCCAAACAGAGCTGCCAGCTCATTCCCTGTGAAAACTTTCCAATGACCACTGTAGAGAAAATGAAAATTCAAGTCAAGATCTTTATAACTGCTCATTAAAACTTCTTGACCCTAAGGCCTACAAACTACCATCCTTCATATAGGAAAACCCAAAAATTACTATATGAGATTTTTTGAGAAAACATTTACTACTACTTTTCTAACTGACCAGGGATGAGCTTAGGGTAGGAATGGTAGCAATGTCTTTTAAAAAATTATTACATTGTTACTTTTATTCACCTACCTAATGAGAAAAAAGTTAATAATATAATGTCCTTTCTATGTAAGGACACTTGTCACAACACAGAATGGCAAAAATACATAACAACTGAAAGGACCAAGATTAGGAAATGATTACATTGATAAAGCAATCTGTAGGGATATTATGCCATTTTAAAATTTAATATTTTAAACAATATTCAAGAACAGGGAAAAAACTCACAGTACAGTATAAGTGGAAAATAATCAAGATATAAAATTATACTAGTATGATAAATACTAGTAAAATACATTACACATGTATTTTAAATATTTGAGTAGAAAAAATATGGAAAGATGTTAAAATATCAACCTAGGTGGTTATCTCTGGATAGTGGTTTTACAGATTTCTTTTTTAAAAAAATTATTTCCAACGAGCCCGTAAGACTTCAAAAACTGTCTTTCAAAGTTTAAGCTTTTAATCAAACAATAGGTTCTACTGACTTCTCCTGAAGTTCTGCCACTGCCAGTCGGTCTGCATCAGGATCTGTGGCTAGCACTATCCGGGCATTTTCTTTCTCTGCCAGTCTCAAAGAAAGTTCCTAAAACAGTGACCCAAAAAGCTGAATTGTATTGAAGACATTAAATGCAATGTTAATATTCCTAAATGTAGGCCCTATGTTAGTGATATGAATTTTAGAAGAACTATAGTTTAGCTCAATTTAAATTAAGTCTAGAGGTAAGGATATCTGCTACAGAGGTTTCAAATAAACAATATATGGCTCCAATATAACCTGAAAGATGTAAACTAAAGTGGTTATTGCTTTTGTAAGTAATCTCTGAATTCTCAATGAGTTCTATCTATTTGATAAAGTTTAATACACTTAATAATATTTAAATATAGGGAAAAAATACCAGCACAGATTCTCCCTCTTCAGGATTTGGGCATTTAACAGTAGAAAAGTCCGGATCAGGATCCTTTTGTTCTGGTACTGGAATTGGAGGCTTAAAACCAAATGCTTGAAAAGCCAACTGCACATAGTCATGTCCAACCCCATGAAAAGATGTATGCACAAATTTCAAGGTGGTCTTTGAGTTTAATTCCCTGTAAAGGAAAATCATCATATAATCAGTCACAAAACTCATTACTTGTGATATAATTAAAATAAGCTAGAGGAAAAGCTAAAATCTATCTTGTAAGATAGGGAAAATATACTCAGCCAGCCAGGAAGCTTTCTAGCAATAGTGTTAGCTACTCATGAAATAGTTATGGAAATATGGAAGTAGAAAAGAAAAAACAAAATTTTAGAGAAAATTTCCTAACCTTATATAGAAGGAATACATATATTTAGCTATACTTTTTTAAAACAGCTTTATTGAGAGGTAATTAATAGACTATAAAATTCATCCAGTTAAAGTGTATAATTCAGTGGCTTTCACTGTATTCAAAATTTTTCTACCATTATTATGATCAATTTTAGAACATTCTCATTACCCCAAAAAGAATTCCATACCCCATAGCTACCACTCCCTAACCTTCCCATTCTTCCCAGCCATAGGCAACCACTAATATACTTTGTCTGTTTCTGTCTCTACAGTTTTGCCTACTGGACATTTCACATACATGGAATCATACAATATGCGGTACTTTGTGACTGGCTTCTTTAGCTTAGGATAACGTTTTCAAGGTTTATTCATGCTGTAGTATGCATCAATATTTCATTTCTTTTTATTGCCAAATAATATTTCGTTGTAAGATATATCACATTTTATTTATCCATTCATTGGTTGATGGATATTTGGATTATTTCCATTTTTTTGACTATTATAAATAGTACTATTTAGCTATAATTTTAATATAATAAACAACCAATACATTTTTATCCCTATTTCTTTACCTTATTTGTTAATCTTATTCCAAGGTAATATTATCCTATATTTCTACTTGAATACCTGTAAAAACAGATCTTTTTCAGATCTTCCATGTATCTTCTGCAAATGTCCTGCAGAGGATCTCTCTTCAGTGGACTAGTATCCACTAAATTATCATTCCAGGAACCATTCCAGGGTTCCACACATTCTTCTATACATTTCAGAATTTCTTTATCATGAGGAGATGTAATCTGAGCACCTGTTTCCCAATAAACCTAGATAATAGGTAAATACAGTTATAAACGCTTGAAATGCTGGCCAGATGTTTTCTTATCTACAGTAAAGATATCTGACTTTATAAAAAAGCATATCAAATTACTCAAGTAGAAAATGTCAGCATGGGACTAACTTAATAAAAACCAACAGCTATTAATGGTAATGATTCCACTGGGACCCTTCAACAAAATTATCATGTCTTATTTTCTTTTAGAAGTATACTTTAATAATAAAACAAGTAAAAAAAATCAAGCATCATTATGACATTATAATATATATATACCATAGTATCCAATCACACTCTTATATAACTATGTACTGAAGATAATCTAAGCAACCATGGAATATCCATAAAACTTGACACTATAAAATTTTAGCATTATAAAGTGGTTAAGTGATAAAGAAGAAATTATTTTTCAGTTATAAAGTAGAATTTATGTCACACCAAATGAAGTCTATTTCAGGAAAGACAATCAATATGTTAATTATCTCATAGACATTTTAATATATGTATTTTAAGTATTTAAAGAAAATATACTTCATTAAGTTGTCAGTTTGTCAAGAAGTTTGATCAGTAAGACATTAGGAACAGAAAACAAAAAAAAGCAAGAAAATGTATTTCTATAATTCACAGAATCTCAAACTTAGAAGGAATTCTTAGAGAATATCTGTATTGTTTCTACCATTTATATGACATGAATCCTCTCTACTGTATCCTGAATGAAGAAAAGAAGAATACACTTGAATATGTATTATGTACTAAGCTGTGCCAATCGATATGGTAGACTAGATGACCTCAGAATTCTCACTCTATAAACACCTCAAAATACTAGATAAAGTAGAAAAAGTATTATCTACAATAAATAGTCTAGTTCACAAGACAGAAAGGGGAAACTCCAGGGAGTGGGGAACAAAGGAAAGAATTAAAAACCAGAGTGATGCTATGGCTGCCTGGAGTTTGGGAACTGTCTATTTATCTGGTTCATGAGTTATAATGCCCATGTGGGAGGTAGGACATTGGAACTGAGACCCCTCTCTCAGTAGAAATATAGAAGAGAAAAAGTTTTGCCCATTATTATAGAAAGATGATGAGAAAGCATGTCTGTTTTTTATTGGGTTCTGGGTGATTTAAAAAAATTCAAATCTGAGGTCTAAATTAACACAAAAACTGCTCCGAGTCAGTAAAACTTCTGAGGTTCCCGCAGAAATTAAAAACAAACAAACAAACAAACAAAAACTGCTCAGAAAGGATGTTGCCACATTCCAAGCCCCTAAAAGATTCCATCTATAGGCCCTGAAAGCTCACTGTGATCATTTTTATAAAATATGAGGAAAAAATCCTGGCCTTTCTCCCTGCCCACGTTTTCTTGCTTTGTGTGTGGACATGATGCCTAGAGGTACAGCAAACATTATATGATGACCACACTTGAGGGAAAGACCAAAAAAACCTGCAGGAATGTTAGGCCTGAGCATCACTGAGCTACAGAACCACATCAGCAGCCACCTACCTCTAGACTTCTTGTTATGTGAGAAAAATTAACCTCTACCAGCTTAAGCCACTATTCTGGGTTTCCTGAGCCTACATCAGAAAGTATCCCTACCTGACATGGTAACAGAAAAATCCACACAACAAAATATACCCAGAAATACACTTTTAAAAAAAGGTGAAAGATCTATTTTTAAAAACCTTCAAAATGTCAATAAAAAATCTAAAAGAAGACTTGAAAGAACAGAAAGATACATCCTGTTCATGAATAAGGAAATTCATAATATTATTAAAATATCGAAGCTTCCTAAATTAATCTACAAATGAAAAATGATACCAATGTAAGTGCCAAAATAACTTTTTTTTTTCAAAATCAGAAAAATACCATAAAACCATGCATAAAAAATATAAAGTCAAAAGGCAAATGATAATATGGGGGTGATATCTCTAAAACAGATGAGCAAGAGCTACTTTTTAACATACAAAGAGTTCCCACAAATCAACAAGAAAAAAAAGAGCAACAACCCAAGAGAAAAATGGGCAAATCCTTAAACAGACTCTCAGGAAAAGGAATACAAATATCTTGTAAATGCATGAAAAGATGCTCTACCTCACTCCTAAGACAAGTGAAGATTAAATGTAATAACATTTCCACCTATCTGAATGGCAAAGACCAAAAAGTTTGACAATACAATAGTGGAAGGTGCATAAAGACTCTCATATATTGCTGGTGAGAGTATAAACTGGTACAACTACCTTAAATAGAGAATGACAAATTTTCTTTCATATTCCCTTTGACTCAGAAGTTTTACTTCTTGAAATTTATCCTATAGATCAAAAGTGCCATAGAAATATAATGTGAGCCACAAATGCAAGCCACTTATGTAATTTAAACTTTTTTAGTAGCCACATTAAACAAGATAAAAAGAAACATGTGAAATTAATATACTTTATACAACCCGCTATATCAAAAATATTATCATTTCAACATATAATCAATATAAAATTGAGGTATTTTACATTTTTTTTCCTACTAAGTCTTCAAAATCTGGTGTGTATTTTACACTTATAACACATTTCAATTCAGACCAATTATATTTTAAGTGTTCAATAGCCACAGGTGGCTAGTGGCTAACAAATTGGACAGTACAGCTGTAGATGATAACAATAAAAACAACAGCATTGAGCATTTATCAGTGCCAGACTTGGGCCACAGGACTCTGCATTTTATAGACAATATCTCCTTTAACTCTCACTCTCACCCTATGATGTTGGTTCTATTATTGTCCCCAGTATACAAATGGGGAAACTAAAGCACAGAGAAATTAAATACCTTGTCACAAAGCTTCTGAGTCACAGAGGTAGGTTTCAAACCCAACCTAATCTCTTAAATACTATTCTATATTGACTATATAAATCTACTTGCATATATGAACAAAGATGTACGTAGAATAATATTCATTGCAGCACTGTTTATAAGTAGTAAAGATCAGAAACAAAATGTTCGACAAAGGATTGGTTAAATAAATTAGGATTCATCTATATAGATTTTAAAGATGAATGCGGCAGACTCATTTATCAATCAATCAATGGAGAGAATGATCTCTAAAATTGTTTCATACCGTTGTGTGAAAAAAGCAAAGTGCAGAAGACTGTATATGGTGCCCTCCCACTTATGAAAAAAAGAGCGAGTGACAAATACATATATGATTACACATTCATGGACTACCTCTACAAGGAAACTAAAACTGGAAACAGTATTCGCTTCTGAGAGGGGTATTGGGAAAAAGGGATGGGAGAGATATTTTTTATTCTTTAACTTTTTAGACTGTTTAACTTTTATTTTTTACCTTGTGCTTATACTTGAAGAAAAAGAAATCTTTGAGAGTCTGCTATGTGACAAATATATTCGACAGCAATGACTATCAAAACAGGCTAAGTCTCTCCACCCATGAGCTTATCTTGGGGAAAAGGGGTAGGCAAGGTCAAACAAATGTCAATAAACAAACAAGATAATTCATCATAAAGAAAGCAGATAATTAGAGATAGTGGAAAGTTCTGTGAAGGAAATAAACAAGATGATGAGAAGGTTATTGAGGGAAGCTGCTTCAGATAAGGTGACCAGGGAAAGTCCCTTCAAGGAAGCAACATCTGGGCAGGAAGCTGAAGGATGAAAATGAGCAAGTCTGCAAGATTTGGGGAAGAGCAATCCAAGCAGAGGAAAAAACAATTACAAAGGCTCGGAGGTGGGAAAGTGCTTGGTATATTGGAGGAACTAGAGGAAAAGAAAGTAGTGGCAGTGTGACTAGAATGTAGTGAGCACAGGAGAGCAATAAAGGAAATGAGGTTGAAGAGGGAGGCAAGAAGCAGGGTCCTGTGGCCTGAGATAAAGAGTTTAGATTTTATTCAAAGAATGAGAAGCCAACTGAAGAATTTTAAGCAGAAAAGTAAGATGACCTATTTATGTTTTAAAAGATCATTTGGCCACCTGGTGGAGAATGAATTGCAGGGGAAGCAGGGATGAAATCAGCTAGGATAGTGTAGTTCAGACAGAGGGCAACAATGCTTTGGAATGGTGGAGGTAGAAGACATGGATAGAAGTAAACATATTCAACATATATTTAACATGTAGAATGTGTAGCATCTGTTAGTGGATTAAATGTTAGGAGTGAAGGAAAAGGAGTGACTTCTGGTTTTTGTTTGTGGGTGGTATCAATTTATAGAGATGGGGAAGCCCGGGACGAACACATTTGAGTATGTATGTGGCAGGTTATGGGGGAATCGAGACCTCTGTTCCAGAAACACTAATTTTGAGATGTCTGCTAGACATCCCAGTGGATATGAAGTAAACAGCTGGATGTAGGAATCTGATGCTCAGAGGAGATCTGGGTTCTTGGCTCTCTTGACAGTTGACCTTTCCCTCTTTGCAACTCTCTTATCCCTTTAGTTTCTATGACACCAATCTCCTCTGGTCTTTCTCCTATCCAGCACTTCTTTCTCCCTTCCCTTAAAGTTGATATTCTATAGGGATCTCTTTGGATCTATCTTTTTCACTACATACTGTCTCTGGGCTGCTTGTCCAAGCAAAAGGCTTCCAAATACTCTTAAATGCTCTAATATATATGGTGACCCCAAAACCTATAACTTCACCCCAGATTTATCCCCTAAGCAAAAGATCTACATATTCAACTGTCTACAGGATGTTGCTACCAGGTTGACTAACAAATATCTCAAGCTTAATATGTCCCAAACTGAATAATTCATGATTCTCCCCTGCCTCTGTGAATAGTAACACTATCCAATTAGCTGGCCAGGACCAAAATCTTAGATTAATACTAAATCTTATTTTCCCCAGTAAAATAGAGCTCAGTGTATCTGGAGGCCTCTCACGGAAGAAGAAAGACAAATATAAGATCATGGAGTCATCATCACCCAGGAACCCCAAATACAGGCTCATTGCTGTGCTGCGTATTTTCTGTTTGCCCCTCCAGAGCCACTCTTCACCCTCCTCCACCCTGGTTCCTGCCAGAGGCTGACACATCAAATGGATCCTGTGACCAATAGGGAGCCCCAGTAGAAGGCTGAAGGAAGAGGAGGGTGAGGTCAAGGTATATTCCTGTAGCTCTCTTCCTGCAAACTCTCATTCATTCCTGAAGTTCTTGGTACAATATGACTCTGAAATGATAGAGAGATGGATTTAGGATAGGAAAAGGAAATCAAGGGCAGCGAGATAGAAGAGACCAATGAAGAGACTTTTGTAATAATACATGTTGAGAAGTAAATAAGGGCCATCAGAGATACACGTTCCTGAGGGTCAGCCTCAATGGTTTTTGTCTTTCTCTCTAATGTCTAGCCCTATTCCCCAGTGTAGAAAATATATTCAGCACATATTATTTAAATAAAATAATAACTATGAAAATAAGCAGAGAGCTGGAGTCCAAGGTTTACCTTATAACCATTGTCTTCTTTGCGGTTGTGAGATGCAGTTATCATCACACCAGCAACTGCTTTAAGCTCCTGGACTGCATATGGCTGAAAAAATAAGACCATAATTTCATTTTGCTTCTTAGCTACTCATACATTTGACATGAGAATACCTTTGATTAAATAACAGGAACAGACATTAAGATATAAATAGTCTAAAACTCAAAAATCAATGCCAGGTTCATTGAGTGGGGCTCATTTCTAAAAGGTCACCAGTAACCACCTTTCAGACTGAATGACTTTTCCCCCAATTTTATTTAACTTAATTCTATAAACATTTCTTATTATTTTGTTCAATTAACAAAATATTTAATGAGCACCTATTATGTGCCAGATGCTCCACTAGACTCTGGAGATATGAGTGGTGAATATAATTATAAAATGTTAGAGCTGGAAGTAAATTTAGAAATTACCCAATCCATCATATTTTACACTGAGGTTTATCCGACAATCATAAGGGAGAAGATTCAAGGGTATAACGTCGATCTCTTGCCTTCCAATTTGAAAATCTTGACATATACTCTGTGATCTCTAAATTATATAAAGGTAAATTCACCATCCTCATTCCAAAGTTAATTCCCAGGCTGGAATTCTCTTTTCTTCCATAGCAGTTTTTTGTCTGCCTAGGATGTTCCCCCTACTCCTCCACCACTACACAATCCAGGTCTGACCAGAGAAACCTACTCTCTTGATGATTTAATTCAGAAACTGGCTCATATACCAAACTTGGTTAGGTGTTTCTGCTGTAGGTAGGCTTAGAAGATTGCCTTTTGACTCAAAGTCATGGTGATAAAGGGTGTGAATCTGGTACTGCTAAAAGTATCTCCCTACCAGCTGGAGCCAATCTGCCTGCAATAGAAAGGAATGTGACACTGGGATTGATGGTAGCTGGGCTTGGCAACCCAGTGGCAGAATCCTACAGAAATGTTCTAAATTTCTGTACCCTCCCTAGTTTCTGTCATTCATTACAGCTAACTGTTTAGCAAGTCCTTCAATTCTTTGAGCCACTCAGTATTTATTTCAAATAAATCACTAGTAACAGTTTATAGAGACATTATCTATTCCGCAAACATTTGTTAAAACTTGCCTATAAAATCATCTGGACTTGGTATTTTTGAGAAGATTTAAAAAATATATCTTTAGTGTTTATAGGTCTGTTCAGGTTTTCTATTTCTTATTCGTTTTGATGTATAGATTAATCTAGGAAACTGACCAATCTGAGCTTTCACATTTATTTACATTGCGTTGTTTAGGATATTGTGGTTTTTAAAATCTCGATTGTATTTATTGTGTACCCTCTGAATTTCTTTGTGTCTTTTTCTCTTTCTTTTTTGAGCTCCCTTGCCAAGGTTTGTCTATGTTATGTCTCTTCAGAGAGCCAACTTTTGCTTTTGTTGATACCCTCTTTTCTTTGTTTGCTTTCTTTTTTCTTTCTTTTTTAGGCAAGGCAATCCTTGGTTGACCTCACAGATTGCAAAGACCTTGTCAGTTTACAATCCCTTATTTATTTGTTTGTTTGTTTGTTTGTTTATTTTTATAACACCTACAGCACCTGGTCTTCCTAGATGGTCTCCCATCCAAGTACTAATCAGGCCCGACTCTGCTTAGCTTCCGAGATCAGATGGGATCGGGCTTGTGCAAGGTGGCATGGACATGGACCTTTTCTTTATTTTCTATTTAATTGATTTTTCCCTCATATCTTTATTATTTCCTTCCTTTTACTTTATTTGGATTTATTCTGTTTTAGTTCTAACATACTAAGTTAGAGTCTTAGTTCATTATTTTAAAATCTTTTTTTCCCTAATATATTCATTAAGACTGTAAATTTCCCTTTAAGTGGGGCTTTAGTTATAGCCCATAATCTTCGCTACTTATTGTTGCTCAGTTTTAAGTACAGGCAGTCCTTGTTTTGCACGGTTCCAATATACAAAATATACAAAAATACAAAAATTCGTATACAATATTCAAAAATTTCTGATACCATTTTGTAGTTAAATAATACCAGTCTCCCAACAACATGTTTAAATTTTAGTTACCGTGCTATGTTAACTGTGAGTAATTGCATCAAGTACAAATTTGGCTGCTAGCTCCAAAATAACTACATATATATGTGATCCATTATGACTAGTGACCAATCACGTCACTCTGTTAAGGTCTGTCTGTGACTGGTCACTGTGCATCTGTTATTTAGCTCTCACACTGACAGCAGTTGTATAGTTGTGTTGCCTCCTTACTACCCAGTGACAAATCCATATGACAGTTTGCAAAAATGGGTAACTGAGAGAAGGAATTGGCCAACAAAGATGAAAGTGCAGCAAAAATCCAAAAAATGATAATGGCGATACAAGTGATAATTTGAATTGAACATAAATGGAGCTATAGAAAAGATAACTGAGAATGTTAACACTGCTGTCGTTCAAGAGAATCTTGATATGCATATCTAGAACCTTAGTGAAGGCAAGCATATGGATATAAGTGAAAGATATAGTAGGGATGAAAAGGATGAAGATGTCCCAGAGGTAGTGATACTGGCAAAAAATGGATTCTCAGAGATATTTCACAAGATTGAAAGTACAAAGGATAAAATGTGAGAAGCTGATCCAAACTTAGAAAGGAGTGTTATAATTTGCCAACGCATAGAAAAGATCCTCGCTTAAGGTGTTGTTAAGGTATATGACAAAAAGCAAGCACTGTTCATATTCTGGCTAAATTATTTTACAAAGGAATAAAACACTTTAGTTCTCAATGTTTCTAATGTTTTAAATTACTGTGTACTACATAAATATTAGTTTTACTATTTTTTTCTTTTCCCTATACATTTTTAGCTAGTAGTAAGGATGCTTTTAATGTTTTGGCAAAATATTTTTAAAGTCATGGAACAACTGCAATTTTTCCCGTTGATAATTAAGATCGATTTGCACGCTTTTAGCTCACACAGTTATTTTTATGGCCCTACACTACCATGCAAAGCAATCTTCACTAGGATATCTTCCTTAATCCATAAATTACTTATAAATGTGTTTTTAAAATTCCAAATGTATGGGGTTTTGTGGATTTATGTATTTTGAATCCTATTGCATAGGGCCCAGGGCTATGGCTTGATAAGCAGTTCTCTGACATTTGCTGAGATTTTCTTTGTGACCCTGCTTAATAAGAATGAATGTCCTACCATCACTGAATACAGAGTTTTTACACACACACACACACACACACACACACACACACACAGACCAAGTATGCTAATAGTATACTCAAATCTATCCTTAATAGTTTTTGCCTGCCTGAATATCCCACGCCATGACTGTGGACTTATCAACTTGTTATAGATCAAATTCTTAGGTGGTTCAACACATGCTTGTTGAATGAAAAAAAATCAGGGCAAAATTTGTTTTCCTTTGAAGCAAGCACATCGATATAAGTTCTTCCTTTGGCCCTTCATATCATTTAATACAGAACTATATGCATAACAAATATTTGAGTCTTGGTTAATTTAAGAAATCTTTTCAAGAGCAGCAAACTTTATGATCAATAATCCAACACACTTACTACAAAAGGTGTAGGGACGTATCTTGAGAAAAGGTACACAGGAACATCTCTGGCCAGTAACACTGCAGCAGTGAGTTTAGCAAGCCTAAAAAGAGAGATTTCACTTAGTCTTACTATACTTTTCAAAACCGAACCTTCCACAAAATAAATGTTTCATATTACAATTATTCTGAATATATAGTGGCCTAAGACAACTAATTCTTATAATCACTAGTTATTTAAGCTTTGTCCTTCAACTTAAAAATGTTAAATAAATACGATTTTTTAAAGGAGTTTAACAATGAAGAGAATCGACATTTAAATTTCTTCCTTTTTCCTCATTCATCTTTTGACGGCTCTTCTCCTAAGAAATAAAACTCAAAAAAAGACAAAAAGAATGGAGAAAAGTGAAATAAAAGACTTTAATAAACACAATATGCATAATTATCCCCTGGAAAAAGTATCACTATATCATTATCTAGGTGTGAAAATACCATAAAACTAATCAAATGGGACTATAATGAGAAAATACAAACTATATCATTACTTCTACCCCAGTGCCTTGCCAAATACTAAAGTCATAACAGAAGCCACGACACCATTCTAAATACTAACTCTAAATATTTTTAAATGTTACTCTTTTCTGTAAAAGCTAAAAAGCTTATCTTTGAAATGCTTCTATTTCAGCTCTAAAATAAACATTAGCATGTGACTGTATTTCTATTTGACAGTTTCCTGTCTCAGAAATGCTAACACTGGGGGGAAAAAATTAGGTTTTATTCCAATTCATCTTAATCTCTGAAACAATTAACACGATACCTCTGGCTGCTGCAGCTGCTAGTTACTTGCCCCCGGGTATCATACCCAACGACAAAGCCTCTCTGCTTGAAGTCTGAGAAACATCTTTCAAGGTATTTGTACATCCCCTGCAGAAGATAAACACAAAACATTAGTTCCTGATTAATGCCTGCATTTTCCTGCCACTTAAAATCTATTATTTTTATGTGTCATGTGCAACTTACGGGCTCTGAGGGATCTGGCTTCTGCCTTTATGCCCATGTTTACCAATGTGGGAAAAATACTGTTCAATCCTCAAAGGTGAAATGACAAACATTTATTTCCTGGAGTTTCAGACATAGCTTAATACCACAGAAATATCAATTATGTAACTATTAAATCCAATACGATACATAAAACATGAGGACAAAAGATGGGACATGAAAGTCAGTGCGCTCAAAAAATTATTAGGCAAGCCAGAAGAAATTGTTTCTTGCCTTAAGGCTCTAACAGAATTTTGACTATTTTGGGCCTGGCTAAATCCTAAGACTGAAGCTAACCAAAAGAATTTATTTATGACACAAACATTTTAAATTAGCAACATAAACCTTCATAAGAACATTTTTTAAGATAGCTGAGCCTATTTGTAATTCTTTGGTTTTAAAATCTCACAGAAAGAAAATCTCACAAACTAGTAAAATTTGCAGTCAAGGGTGAGGAAAAAAATGAAACAAAATATTTAATATTGAAAACATCACGACAATAGATAAAACCATTTAACTACCTTATCAACAATGGGCTAACTTTAATACTTTCATCTCTAAAAATAACACTTTTTATTATTACGGTCCTTTAAAACTACTTTAACAAATGTTGCCACATTTAATCCTTACAACAACCCTGAAAAGAAAGAAATGCAGATGCCATTTATACTTTTGTCTCTATCTTTCAACATCTCTTCAAAAAGCAGACAGAATAAGATTGACAGTCCATGTGATGATTTGCCCAAGGTCATTCATTCAACTAAACCTAAGTTACACTGATTTACTGAAGACCTATTATATGGCAGGCACTGTTAAGTAACTATGTGGCAGCACCGAATGAAGTCCCAATGACTTCTGGACTCTTCTTCCATGGCTCTTTCAAGTATAATCATTCTTCCCAACCTTCTCTGCATATGTGTGTGCACGTGTGCGCTTGCCCAAATTGGCTAGTTTCACAAATTTATTTATTTCTAATGATGGTACTATCCTAAAACCTCACGAAACCTCATATTATTCTCTGGTATGAAAATCCACTTCTCTCTTTCCTCCTATACCCCCATTCTGAAAAGGGATAGGGCTTAAGAATGAGATTCCATCTGGCTTTTCCACTTTACACAATGGAATCTCAATTGCTATAAAATTTGCACTTCCATAGAAATTGATTTTCAAACATCTCCGACCCTTCTTATAAAGTTAAGGAATCTTCGTTTAAATGAAAGCTTAAGATGAAACCTAAATCATAAAAAAGATTGAACTGAAGCATCTCTGGATGATGAACAGAAAGGAGATGGGGCAGAGGAGCTGGCATGTATCCCATCTATTCAGTCACCTTGTCATCCCTTCTTCCCTGTCCCCAGCCCCTGGCTTTAGAGAATGCCCTCAGAACAAGGCTAAAGATGATTTACTGTTTGGCAGTATTGATTAGTTAGAAGTATGACTACTGAACATTTTTCTAGTCCAGAACTATTTTTAGTATATACTAAATGCATTTTGGCCTTCAAGCAAAGTATAGCTCCTTGAAGCAGAGAGGATGATTCACTGGAAAGAGAAATAATTTGTTACCAGAGTTAGGTGTATAAAATTGGAGAGAAATAAAATAAGTTGTATCATATCATACACTGTCTTAAAAAACTTTCAAGTAGATATAAGGAACCATATTAAAGGGAAATATTTTCAATGAAATTTTCCAAATACTCTGGTTAACCTTTATCAATGGCTGTAGGCCAAATGGGTAATCTAAATTTGTTTCTTTGCATTAATTGAAAATGTCAATATCCATTTTCTGGTTTCAAATGCAAAATAACACTGTCAAGAAATTGATAGCGGCAACCAAAATAATTCTCAGTCAGAAAGATAGTCTGTGACCTTGAAAATACATAAGTGACTTCTAAGACAAATCAAAGGTCAGAATTTATTTACATTTTTTACTTATGAGAGTACCTTCCTGGATATTAAGGTTTTGCTTTTGTTTTTGTTTTTTAGAAAGGTATTACCTAATTTATAAGGCGAAAAAAACAGAGCGATAATTGTTTGTATAATACTTTATAATACATACCTGTGTTGATTGTATTACTGTAAGATCATTAATATAGCAAAATCCTGCCCCCATGGCAGAGCGAAGTCCTGCAGTCCCAAAAGTCATTCGGCAACAAAGACGATCTCGCAGTTCCTTGTTCATTCCATTCCGTAACAGATTTTCAATTTGCTCTTTTGTTTTGGGATTCTAAAAAAAAGAAGTATTAAAACTTAATCAGGATCTCAAGCAAAGCCCTAATATAAAAACCTTGTGAGGAACCCATAAGTACTATGCATACACCACAAGGTTCTATATTTCTTCAAATATAAGCACAAGTTAAAAAATATTAGTATGTATAATAAAACAATACTTGCCATTTACTGAGTCCCCAAAGGAGCCAGGCCCTATTAAGAGAGATTTATATAGCCTGTAATTGCCATAGTATTTTTTATAATATATTCAAGAATGTTTTTTAAATAAATGGATAAACTTAAGAGCTATAGATCCAAAATAAACCTTAGTCAAAAATGGCATCAATTAAATTAGAATCTATATTGTTTTAAAAGAAGTATAGAAGCTACTGGATAAATGCCATCAAAACATGTCTACCAACTACCTACCTAAACCTCTGCAATTCAAAATGACCAATAAGCTTATTATTCTTAAAGTCAATTTATCTATAGTAAGAGTTGACCATAAAAAGGTTTTAGGTGTTAAATGTGGACTTAGTTAAGAATGAGAATGAAAATTCAGTCCAAACATGGCTTGTGAGAAAGGACATTCCAACATCCATATTTTAGGATTATATATTTCATTAGTACTTATTTTAACTTATTTTCATAAATCTCAAGAATGCCTGTGACTGAAAATAGTGCTTCACAAAAAAGTAGCAAATTTCTAATAGAAATACAATTATAATAAGAACAAAATTTAAATGGAATTTTCCAGTACTTTCTAAGAGAAAGAGTCAAATATTAAGAAAATAAGGTGAAAAGTAATATTTGCTTAGATCTTCTAAATCTATAGCCTATACAAGAATAATAAATATTCAGAATATTCATTATCCAAGGTACCTGAAAGGTGCTAAATATTAGAGCATATCTGTATTTGTAAAGAAATAAAAACATTAATATATAAGTTCAAACAAAAGGTTTCCTGGTTACAGTAGAAATTAAAGTAACCAGAGTGCATGCCACCGACTAATGAAAGCCGTGGAATTATGATTAACTAAAATTATAACCTTAAAATGAATGGATGTTTAAAATATATATATTATACGTATATATTATATATATATATTACCTAGAGTCAAGGAGTCTCCATTTTATAAATGGCACACACTAACAAATACATAAGGTACATAACAATACAAATAGCTATTAAGAGATAAATCTAAACAATAAGATTATCTGTGTTACTATCACATTATTCCAAAGTCTAAGATACCACCAGATTTGACACAGAAGTAAAAGAGACTTGGAGAGGGTTAACATTTACAAATGGGCATAAGAATGGCAAAAATTGAAAAGACTGAAAAACTTCAGTACTGTAGAGGGTACTTGGCACTGTAATGCACTGTCAGTGGCAATGAATTGGGATCGTCTTTGTGGAGTGATTTTGCGGCAACTATCGGAACAAACTGCACATGCCTCTTGGCCCACAGATTTCTGTCCACAGCAATACCTTCACATGAACGAAATGATTTATTCATATGAGAATATTCACTGCAACATCTTACTGGTAGTATTACTACCACTGCATTGATGAAGAAATTAAGATTCAGAGAGGCAGCCTAGTAACACTGAGCTAATAATATTGGAGATCTAGGCAGGATTTGAATCTAGGTCGGTCTGGCTCTGAAGCCTGTATCATCTCACTACAAACAAAATAATTATGTAGGGAAGGCTGATAATTATTCTAATAAAAATTAATTCCAGTTACAGAGCAAAACAATATTCCTTTTTGTTACACTTATATAAATATAAAAAATGCTCTGGGAGACATGAATACTATTAGGTTTCTGAGTATACTTCCTAATGTTTAAATGCACAGCTACTAGAGTAAGGCCTAAAACTTCCATTCCTTGTTATAAACATTATAACCAGTATCGACCTAATTCCTGGTTTTGAAAATCTGTAAATTAGAGAAAAATAAAAATGGATAAAGAATCATTATGCATTAAACGTAAATTTTTATGGTAAAAAAACTAATAAAGAACAACATAGGGAATATCATCAATAATATTGTAATAACGATGAATGTTGTCAGGTGTTGTCAGGTGGACACTAGACTTATCTCGATAATCACTTCGTAAGTTATATAAATATCTAATCACTATATTGCACACCTGAAACTAATATAATATTGAATGACAACTGAAGTTAAAAAATAAAAACTTTAAAAATAACTAAGGGATTATGGTGACAGGCATTTGCGATCAACTTTAAACTCAGATTTCTCCACTATTTCATAACTAGTCATTAAATTAGATGTAGATGTTACAAACTTTTAAAAAATATAACTAAATTGGTATCTATGTAGCCATGATTATCATATATTTCCATTCACATGATGAAATTACAGTTGCATTTTATTACGATCTTCAAATAACTATGATTTATATAAACTATAATAAAGAGTCTAAGAACTACAAATTATTTTTTGAATACTATTTCCACATAGAACTCAGAGATACTAAATGGAAAAGAAAGCAGAAGAGTATATAAGCTATTTTGATTTGTATAGAAAGAGATATGTGTATATTTATATATCATTCCAGAAATACTACAGGTGAATATAAGAGACTGAGGAAATCAGGGGTGAGGTCTGAGGTAGAGTTTTTATTGTACAGCGTTGGTACTATTTGAAAATTTTAAGTTTATATTACTATTTATGGTAAAAATTAGTTAGGTATCCTTGATGGCTGAGAAAAACCACTATTGGTGTGTTTATATGAATACTTTTTACCTCAAAAGAGAGCACAAACTGCTCTCTTTTGCCTATCTATAGAAAGCTTTAATAAGAGCTGAATCTATAAAACATCTATTGGAGCTTTCTCAAATACAAAAACAAATTTTTGTTTGTTTTTTTAATGTGTGCTCATTTACAATTCATTCATTACTTGACGGCAGGAGAATTGAATGGAAGGCCTTACTCTAGTAGTTGTACATTTAAGCATTAGGAAGTATACTCAGAAACCTAATCAGTGCCAAAGGAAAAAAAATTGTTCAACTGATATAAATTGTAAAAAAGCACCTTTAAAATTATAATGTAAGTCTTTAGGAAAGTTACTTGATTTATAGTTTTTGAAAATATACTTACTGATCTACTACATAAAAAATGAATTATTTAGAAAGGAAATTCATTCGATCTGAAATAAATTTGCTCTTAACAAGCATATTTTAGAATCTTAATAATTTTAGTCCTCCAAAAAACTAATCCTGCAGAAAACACAGAGATTTTAGTGACTATTAACATTTTCTATACTTCATCAGGAATAAAGCTGATTGTTTAATATAAAATTAATAATCTAAAGAAAGAATACAGAATTAAAGCTATACATTATTTTCAAATTTTACCTGCATACCAAAAATTCTCCCTTAGGTTCTAATCCTATGTGTTACTGTGACTTTACATGTCTAAAATGAAGAGGAGAAAGTGTCTTCTTCCATTAATACTCTGTGGTTTTATTTTTTCCATATTGTAGGTCCAGTAAGACTCAAACTCAAAGAAAACATAAAAGATTTGATTTACCAAAAAAAGCAACACTTTAAATATGTAGGCATGCCTCTTCTAACAAACTTAAGTGTCTCTTCCAACAAACTTATGAACTTTCACAAATGTGAAGAAAACTACCCACAGACCAAAATCAAACCAACTCTGCCTGCCATTAAATGAAAACATTAGCATGCACTTATGAAGGATCATTTTGGACTCATCCAAGCTTTTCTGACCTATTCTGTTATAAGGTTTGTGTATTATTTACATGTAATAAATACAAATGTGTATAAAAGTATGTAAAAAGTAATGAATCACCATGATGTAAAACACATCGAGTTTGTCAATGAGGAATTTACCTGCAAAGTTTCTTTCCTACTTCTCTTATAAACCTAATATTTTTATAATTCTTATACAACTTGAATCTATTCTGTTATTATTCTAGTATTAAATCTAAGAGCTTAAAAATAATAGAAACTATGAATATCATTGTATAGAAGATTAGAACTGATCTAAAATAATATAATGGATTATATTCTTAATGTATATTAAGGATCCCAGATTGTAGTTTTGTTATATATCTAAAGAGGGGGCAATACTACACAAAATTGATTTTTAGTAACTCAAATATATTTAAAATTGCAAAACTGTAAATAACATTTTAAAATGTTACTCAGAGACGGCGTCTAAACAATAAATACCAGTTTTATATAATGACAGAGAAAAAAACTTTTTTAAGTTTATTTCTAAACAGAAGTTAAAAGAGAAACTGCAACCTAAAACATCTGAAGTGAACCTGACATTTACTTCTTCTGAGTCAGCGAGCTTGAATATCCAAGTCTAGAGTATTGAAGCAGAACATGTTTTCCAAACTAGATGCTTCCTCATTGAGTACAAAATATACTCTTGCTAAACCAATAATTTTTTTCCATTTAAAGGATCTCTGTTCTAAATCTAATATAATTTCTCTATCTTTAAAAAATTTGCAGAAATTGGCATAAATTAAATTGGCTTAGATAAAAAACTTGAATGACTATACTTCAGGTAACCCTTATTTTATTGTTATAATTGTTCTATTATTAGTTATTGTTGTTAATCTCTTACTGTGCCTAATTTATAAATTAAACTTTATCATAGGTATGTATGTATGTATTGGAAAAATACAGTATATATGGGGTTCAGTCTTATCTAAGGTTTCAGGCATCCACTGGAGTCTTGGATTGTATTTCCCACGGATAAGATGGACGATTGTATTAGAAAAAAAGTTAACAGATGATAATGGGAATTCCCTTAAAAACAGTAATAATTACTCTCATAATGGGGGTTGATAGCAGAGACCATTTTCTAAACCTCTGTATCCTCCACAGTACTGAACCTCTACCTTGTACACAGAAGATGCTTAATATGTGTCCAATGACTGAGTCAGTAATAGTAACAAAGTAGCCATGTTCTTTCAGGAAAAGTAAATATTAAAGAAAGAAAATGTACGT